AAAAATTCCTTGCTTAGAAGATAGGCCAAGTGGTGTAGTGGAGGGAGGGCTCAGGGGAGCTGAGCCCCCTTGTTGAAATTTCATGTTGACTTGGGGGGCTGCACGTTGGTCAAATTTAGCAAAATTTCTCCCACTCGTGCGGGTTCGTATTGACAGCGGACATCTTACAGAAAGTGGCCAGTTCTTTGAAAAATGCAAAAGTTTCAATTTTACACCGCAAGTCCACTGACAATATGAGCCTGCGATCCTGGGAGATAATTTGCTGAATGTGACCAGCGTGCTGAGTCCCCCTATATTTTGGCACGTTGCATAATTGATAATCTTAACAACGTGCGAAAACACACACAAAAAATACCAGTAAACGAGAATGTTCTTTAGAATTGCATCTCATTTTCACTCATCATTTAACACAATGATTTTTGTAATCTTTATATCGCCATTTTTGTAATCTTTATATCATTTAGTACCACTAAATTGTAAATTTCGACATACTAAAACGCTGTTTTCTGACCATCAGAATTCTGTCAAATCTTCCCCAAAGTCCAGGAAATGGCATTTCAGAGACTCTAAATTTAAAAATTTCCTCGGGCCTTCGGTCCTCGCTTCGGCTTGTTTTTAATAAGAATAATGTCAAATGTTTGTCCCAGAATTACTAGAATAAACCCCAACAAAATTTAGAATTTCTAAAATATCTTATTGTACCTCCCCTCCTCTCCCGCCAATTCAGGGCACTTTGGAGAGCCCCCCTTGTTAACATTCCAGGACTACACCACTAATAGGCCTATAAATTTCACTTAAAGGGCCCTACAGTAATTTTTTAGTCGAAAGCCACCTTAAGTAGGGGACTCCACGGAGATTCGTTTGGCTGTATCTTACATGCAGTATCCATGAGTATGAGTACTTTCGCACACAGAAAACGCATGCATACTGTGGTGCGCATGTCAAGTAGCGACAATAACAAAAAATGTAAACAATACTTACTTGACTAAAAATTACTGTAGGGCCCTTTAAAAAAAAAATATTTCCAACCATCAAGTGAGAAAACAAAAATATTTCTTCTATAGGTGTACAAAAAAAAAATATATTGCCTCTTAGAAAATCCCCCCCCCCCATCACTTTTCTAATGGTCCGTCCCTAAAACGCACGCTCAACGTTCTTGTTTTTACTACAGTCCCCCTGAACAGCGGTAACTACGTATATTACTTAGGGGCCAACCATTTAACTTTTGGGAGGGGAGGTGATTTTGAAAAAAAATTTCCTGCAAGGCTATTCTGAACAAAAACAAATACCTGCACTAACAAACTGGGGAAAAAATATCCTGCCCCAGTATTTGGTGGGAAAAAATGTTGCAAAACAGCATGGTTGCAGGGATTGATTTTACCAGTCATCTATGACCAGTCCGAGAAGATCAGCTGGTTTGACTAGTGTAAGGTTAATTTCATGTTGGAAAACTCCTCAAAATGCTGGAAATAGCTTATCTGAGCTTCAAAAAATAAAAAAATTTCTGGGGGAGCATGCTCCCAGACCCCTCTAGAGGCTTGCACCTTCGGTGGTCGACTCAGTTGTCTCAGAGTCCTAGTTAAGCATGGCCTGAGCTGCTGCCCTATGACGTCTACTTATTAGTTAAACCATGCATATATATGCTGTAGGTAGCTGCAGTGATACAGACAGGGCTGTAGCGAGGGGGTGGTTAAACCCCCCAACTTTTTTAGAATCAACATATTCAGAAAATATTATAAAATTGTATTGTCACTATAAATTGTAAGCAAATTGCAAATTTCGACATACTAAAACGCTTCTTTCTGACCATCAGCATTCTGTCAAAACTTCCCCAAAGTCCAGGAAATGGCATTTCAGAGACTCGAAATTTAAAAATTTCCTCGGGCCTCCAGCCCTCGTTTTCTGCCCCCAATAAACAAAAGTTCCCTACCGCACTGCTTCTGTAATATGTCTGTGCGTAAAATATGCGTATTTTTGTTTGTAAATTGCGTCTTCATTCTCCGAATAGCAAACACCTTCGTGGCTTAGTATGCCATGCCCTCCCCCTCCCCCTCTCAACTATACATGCTAGCTACGGCCCTGGATACAGCTTTGCCGACTGGAACTTCTCCAGGTCCCCCGCTAATTATGTCCTCTCCAGTTGCACATCCTTAAAAAAGCCCTGAACCAAATGTTATACCTCATAGCAATATGTATTATTAAGAGCAATGCATGAAGCTAGAAAACTCAACGTTAACTATAATTAAAGAATCTAAATAGTATAAGCCATTGGAAAAAAAATGCTGCGAAAGAAAGTGTGGAAAAAAAAGTACATGGTGATAGGATAAAAAGAAATAAATTCCCTGCCAGCAGTAAATCCCCCCCCCCCCCCCAAAA